CACAGGCTGCCGATGCGAGCTTTGCTACCGAACCCCCGCACCAAACAAGCGGTGAAGTTTCACTTGTAGAAGGCCAGGACTTGCACTCAAAGAACCTGGAGAGTCCGCCCGATAACGTGACATCGGACGCCATCATCCCGGACACAGAGCTTGACTCAACGAATCGTCCGGTGGAGAAGGGTGTTGAAGCCAATGATGACGCAACACATATTTCCGACCAGGCCGACAAGGATGCTCCTCCATCTACGGAAGGTGCTCCAGCTGTTACGGAAGCTTCCGTTGAATCCTCCGAGGTTGTTTTTGCATCGAATGAAAGCGGCCCCGCTTCCACCGAAGAGCCTGCCTTTACCGAAGAGGTCCCGACTGTGACGGAGGGGCCTGTCGAGACTCCAGAGACCATGCCTGTGTTGGAAGGAGAGGTTTATTCTCAGGTCGAAGAAACTTCCACAAATCTCAAGGATATTTCAGCTCGTACGGAGGATGACCTTACCGCGACAATTCTACACAGCAAGCAAGAAGAGCAGGTTGTGAGCGAGGAATCGAACACAGTGGCCGAGCGTCAGGAAGACCAAGCACCCGAAGAGCCTCCGATGACTGCCGCGCAAAAGAAGAAAGCCAAGAAAGAAAAGAAGAAGCTACAGAAGCAGAAGGCCAAGTCATTGGATGACATTTCCCTGTCTCAGCCTGGAACACCCAAGGCCTCCGAGAGCCCGCGGGATACGGGATTTCCAGCTATTGAAGGAAATCTAACCCCTCTAGATCCTGCAAAGTTGGAAATCACTTTGGTTGACAAGAATGGAGAACAGGAGTCTGCCAAAGAATATCCTCAAGATGTCGCCACAGATGAGGCAACAGCCGCAGCAGCGAAGGAGGTAACAATGGCTGGAGATTCTGAAGCGATGCCTGAAGCCAGAGACTTGAGCAAAGACACATCAGCCGAGCCTCAGACTCTTACCGAACCGGCCGACGAGCAAGCCAGAGGTGAAGTTTCTCCTGATGTTGATATGAAGCCCTCTCCAGAAATCTTGGCAACTGCCGAAGCCCTTTCAACGGAGGAGCAAGAAGATTCTCGTGCCGACAAGGGAGATGTCAGCAATGAGAACAAGACACCTGGTGCACTGGATACTTTAGAGCCCAGTGTCGAAGATTTGGAGGGTCTCCCTGATACACGCATAGACCTTGAACAACAGAATCTAGACTCCGCCGAACAACCGCAAGAGCAGCCTGAGGCCGTCACCTCTCCCGCCTCGGATCCTGCAGCCCACCACGAAGAGCCAAAATCCGAGCTTGCTGCAGACCAGGCAAAGGATGATGGAATAGTAGCAGGCACAGAAGTGACTCCTGCACATGCCAATACACCAACGCATGATATTTCTGAAAGTACGGGTATCTCTGAAACAGATGCTCAGGCAGGCTTGGCTGGCAACGATCCCGCCGAGGAAAACGGGTCTCAGCACGATGTCATAGCTGATTCGCGAGAGGAATCAGTTGGAGATGTGCCTCAAACCTCGTCTTCAGTCAAGTCGAAGAAGGACAAGAAGAAAAAGAAGAAGAATAAATCAATGTCCTCAGATGAGACACCGGAAGCTGTCCCAACAGAAGAATCGAAGGAGCCTGTCGAAACATCTTCTGCAGCAGACATCGAAGCCGTTCCCTCTGCTTATGATGCAGAGGTCACGGCAGCTGCCGATGTTACTTCTGATGAAGTGACTGAACAAACTCAAGATGTTGAGGATGTGCTCCCAGGCGAAGCCATGCAAGGTCCTCAGGACGAGCCCAAGCATCAATTGTCGGAAGAGCCCTCGGCAGAGAAGTTGGAAGAACCCGTGTCAGAGCTCGTGTCAGAGCTCGTGTCAGAGCCCGCAGAGACCGAAAACCAAGCTGCGGAACCAACGCCGGAGCCCCAGACCGCAAAATCCAAGAAAAAGGCCAAGAAGGATAAGAAGAAGCGCAAATCCGTGTCCTTTGCAGATGAGCAGTCAACAGACCTGAGTGAGCCTGTTGCGGAGTCTGGCGAGGAATTACACCGTAATATCACGCAAACGCCTGAAGATGACACTTCAGCTGAGCCGAGCAAAGCAATTGAGTCACCTCCTACCGAAGAATCTGGGCAGAACAAAAGCAATGAGTTTATTGCTGGCGACGAAGAGCTCCCGAGCTTGATCGATAAAACTGCACCGTCGGAAAGCAAACCCGATGTCGCTGATGAGGCTTATCCGGAATCCGATACTCGATTAGAGAAGGAAAATGTCGATTCGCCTTTGGAGAACATAGAAAAAGAACCGACAGCTCCAGGAATGGACAATGATTCTCAGGCAGCAGAAACATCCACTCAAGAATCTCAAGTTCTGGAATCAGCTGGCATCTTTTCTGGCAGCGCTGAAGAAGCGGGAGAAAGTTTGGCAAATTCGGAAACAGCGCATGACACCCCGACCCTACCGGAAACCACCGTGGCTGAGAGTCTAGAAGCAAAGGATGCGTCTGAACTTTCTTTGTCCAATGCCCCAGAGCACCAGAACCTCACTGAGACTACCGAGCCGCAAGTCGGTCCTGCCATGTCCAAGAAGGATAAGAAAAAGGAGAAAAAGAGAAAGCGCAAGTCATTAGCTCTCGCTGAAGAGACAACCGCTTCGGCTCCAGAGTCCGCAGTTGACAACGCTGCAACGGCACCGCCAACTCCTGCTGAGCCAGATTCTTCGAACGAGCCAGATACAGCCGCAAAGATTACGGCTCCTGAGACAGATCGTGCTGAGGACGCAATGCAGCAAGCCGAGCAGATCGAGCAGATCGAGCAGGCCGAGCAAGCCGATGAAGGAGCCGCTTCAATGTCGGCGAAGGCAAGGAAGAAGGCAAAGAAGGGGAGGAAGCGGTTATCAAAACTCCAAGACGCGAATAACGCTTCTTACAATGAATCTCTACCCTTATCGGAAGGCGCAGAGATCCACGCCGAAGAACCTCAAGACCCAAGCGATACTCAGTTGGTGACTGAGACCGAGACCGCGGAAACATCGCAGGAGGCGGCAATCATACCTGCCGAAGATGACGGTAAAGATATTCAGTCCCACGGCACCGAATTGCACGGCGGAAACGATAAAGATCTGACTTGGACTGATGACATGGTTCCGCAGGTAGAGCAACAGCAAGCATCTTCGCCAGCTTGTCCTCCCCAAGTCGAACCTGAGAACCTCGAATCCGCGCCTGCACCAGCCTCTGTAAACTCCGTTGAAGCACTGCGGGACACTATTCCGAGCGGAGAGGCTCCAGAGGAAACTGAGTCATCCGCAGTCCAAGACTCGGCGCAAATGGGGGCGGTGGATGAAGATTTGGCTACGCTGCGACCTGGAACTGCAGGGAAGGAGAGCGAGTTTGAAGCGGTGGTACCGCAAGAAGAGAATGAATTTGGCGAGCAGCAGGCCACGGGATGTGTCACCGAGGTCCCAGGTCAAGATAACGTGGAGGATACGAGTATTGCATCGGTCGACAGGAGAGATTTTGAAGGCGATGAACACACTGAATCCCAGGAGCAGTCTTTGCCTGCCGAGACGGAGACGGAGTACGGTGCCAGTCCCCCGGCAGCGGACGAGGGGCCGGCCGTTCACCCACTCGAAACTGCCCCGGGGATGGAATTAAGCAAAGACAACTCCCTGCCTGATGCGAATATTCTCGGAGAGAAGCCCAAGCAGAAAAAGAGCAAGAAGGACAAGAAAAAGGACAAACGCCAAGCAGAGACAGCAGCCAGCAGTCATCATCAAGAGGAACAGGAGTCTGGTGCTAAAACTGTAGCTGAAGATGCAAGTCCTGCCGCAACACTAGCCCCTGCCACGGAGGTGAAGCTAGAGTCGGACACATTGGGACAAGTTGATTCAAGTTTGGACGAACAACCTGAAGCGGACATCGCCGACACTCAAACGAATGTCCATCCTGATGAAGGGCTCGAGAACGCAAGAGATATCCCACCTGTGGCCCCTCTTGAGGATGATATTCAAGCTGGCGACCGTGAATCGAATTCTGCAGTCCCTGAGAATGTTGTTAAGGAAGATGATGTTGCGAAGGCTGGCGACTGGGAGGACCATGTATCACAACCTGTTGCACCAGAAGACGTGGGGCTGGAGCTTCCAGAATCAGAGGCTGCTCCTAATGTTGTTGTTCTCGACGATGCTTCTCGCGAGGTTGCGCCAAAAGTTGTTATGCCTGAACCTGTTGCTTCTGAGATTGTCATTTCTAGGGACATGGCTCTTGATGAGGAGGTTGAGCCTGAGGTTGGGAATTCTGAACTTGTTCCAGAGGAGGTTGTTCCAGAGGAGGTCCCTTACGAGAATGCCCCAGAGGAATCTTTTTCTGAAGCTGTTGTTCCTGAGCAGGTTCCTTCCGAGGAGCCTGTTGCTGAGGCTGTTTCTCACCAAGGGGCAATTCCTGAGACTGTCTCTGAAGTTGTTCCGGCTGAACCGGAAAGTTCAAGCGTCACAGCACCACAGATTGAATCGCCGGAAGCTGTGTTGCCAGAACTTGTTCTCTCGGAAGCACCTGTTGCAGAAGTCGAAGAAGCAAGGACCGACATTGCGGGCTCAGCCCTGGAGGATGTGGGTCCAGAGGCTCTGGCTTCAGTCTCTGCGAATAAGGATTTATCAGAGCCAGAGGATGTTTCTTCGGACCCCGCGTCCCAGGGGAACTCGGTCCCAATCCCGGATATGGCACTCGATGCAAGCCAAGAGCCGAAAACAACTGAGGGGTCTCCTTCCAAGAAAAAGAAAAACAATAAGGAAAGCAAAAAAGCGTCACTGTTGAATGAAGACAAGACGAGGCTCCCGGAGCCAGTTGAAACGTCGGTCGAGGCTGAAAAGGAGCTGAATGATCTTCCTAAGCCAGCAGACACCTCCCAAATTGTAGCCGAAAACGTTGATGATCCTGATGAAGTTCCCGAATTGAAGGCCGAGTCGAGCGATGCGCAGGAGGACTCAGGCCCGATAGAACAGAGCGAGGATCTCCGTTCGATGATGGAAGCAACTACTAGTTGTGAAGCCGATTCTGAGCAAAAGCCAATGCCACAAATCCCGGAGCCACAGGCGTCATCATTGGCACAAGGCGTGATGAATCGGGAGCCAACGGAAGGAACCCTGATTACGGAGGGGAACTCCACAGAGGCGATGGTAGAAGTTCCTCGCGAAGAGACTGCTGAAGAGATACATCATGGGAAGTCTTTGAGCCGCAAGGAATCAGCGAGGAAAAAGAAAAAGGCGAAAAGGGCAACCGAGAGAGACCAAAAGGAATCAGTTAAGCCGGTCCTTGCGGAAGACGCAGCATCGGAAGAAGCAGCTCCGGAAGAACCAGTACTTGGCGAAAATGAGCTCGACAAAAGCGTTTCCAAAAGCGCCCTGTTGCAGAATACAAGTCATCATGCTGCCCCGGAAGGGACGACAACTTCACAAGAGGCTATAGAGCCTCTGCCAGCACATGAAGACCATGGTTCTGAATCCTCGCCGCTGGACCATTCACATGCCGACGAGCTCATAACACGCAATGATACGTACCCATCCGCGGAGCAAGTAAGCTTCGATGAGGATCAAGAAGTTGAAGACAGTCAAACTTCAGGGTCCAGATCGAATGAGGACCCCAAAGCTCTTTCGGAATTGCTTCCGGAAACTTCCCTGATCAAGAACGATGAGATGAACAATGATATGGCAGAAGGCTCTTGGAACGAACAGGATACTCCAGTGCCATTGAATCGGAAGGTGTCTAAGAAGGAGAAACGAAGGGCCAAACAGAAAGCTGAAAAGGAAGCTACTCAAACAACGCGGCAAGTGCAGCAAGTGCAGCGCGAGATAGAAACCAGTCAAGCAGAAATATCTCCTGTCTTGCCAGCAACCAGCATCGTACATGACGAAAGGGTATCCATCAATCCCTCTGAAGGTAAGCCTCAGGAAACAGACCCTACGTCCGAGCAGCCCGCAGAGGATGACAATGGCTGGCCCTTGATAGACTGGGGGAAAGCACAGATCGATACCACAGAGCGAACCCCAGATTCGTCCCCAGAAGCCCGCGCTATTCCCTTTGAGCCAGGCATTGCCGAATTCGACGAGACTGCTATCCCCGAAGGTATCACGAGACGATCGAACTTGCAAGGCAGATATAGCAGAGCAAGAGGTTTTAGCCTATCACAAAGACAAGATATCCAAGAAGGCAAATTCCGACTTGACACAGCTCCCCTTGCAATTGACGCCTCCCCTACTGAAGGAAAAGAGACTCGAAAAGGCCAGCTTGAAGACGTGGACCACGAAGTGGAAGGTGGTCGTGCCAAAGGATCCGAGGCTGAATCCAACAAACCAAGCCTGGTAGCAAGTATCTTTCCGGAGCTAGAGCGCGGCTTTTTCCGTCGACCGGCTTCGATTCCAGATTTCGGGTCAGCAAAAGATGGGGCTGAGGAAGAGACCATTGGCAAGGAAGCGATTCGCGACAGCGACAAGGTCTTGGAAGCCCCCATCGCAACCGAAGAAAGCTCAGGCAACGGAGACCCTACGCCTAAGATGAAGCTGGATGACAACATGACTACGACAGAACAGCAGACTGAGCAAGTGGATGAAACGGAAAGTCCTGTCATTGACGTTGAGGTTGGCCCTGCTTACAATGTCTCCGTGCTTTCGGACGGGCCACACGAAGCATCCCGATCGATCGAGATTCAATGGGAGGGGACAGAGGAGAAGGGTCAAAATGCTGCAACACACGCCGACACAACCATCCAGCATCAGATCCCTCTATACGCACCGTCACCCCTACATGAACGTTCATCGGTGCTGGTTCGATCCTCGTCCCCAATTGACGTGGAAATTGGACTGCCGTCACCATCGCAACCAGAATCTACGTGTGAGCTTCGACGCAGGCCTTCGATTCATGGACGACACGGGCAAAGCACAACCCCTCGTCATCATTCATGGTCTCTAGACGAACAGTCAAGTGCATCAGGAAGAACGCCTTCACCGCCAGGCGCGGGTCGAGGCTCGGTCTCGCCTCCACGGACGCCACTGCATACCATCAAGGAACACGAGCTCGGGGATCGATCGAAGAGACCCACCAGCCCTGGTCGTGGCACGCCCCATCTGGAGATGAAACCGGAGCATGTGCTGTCTCCCACTCCTCAAACTCCTCCGCCAAGCAGGAAGTTCACGGACAATGCTTTAGCGCGCCAGGCCTGGCCAACATCCAGAAGGAGCGACGACGATGATGAAGTGGAGGAAGTTCAAAAGCGCCAACCGGACAGCTGGCGGGGGCTCCAGAACGATTTCGCATCCGGAAAAATGATGAAGACGCCTGAACAGGAAAAACCAATCCTGCGACCATCGAGGAGTAACCGCGCGTTACGACGAACTCCTCGCAGTATGAGCGGCGGTGATTTGCGGGCGGTCAGTCAAGCGCTGGAGGCGGAGGCGGAGGCGGGCCAGCCTCCTTCGCCTTCCTCCGCTTCTGCTGCTGCTTCTGCTTCTGACCTGAACATCGAGCGCATCGCTTCTTCTTCTTCCTATGACCCCGTCACCGACAAGGGCAAACGGCCCCTCCGAAACATGACTGATGTTTATGTGAGTTGATTTTTTGTTGATATTTTTTTTACTTTTGCCGATAGAAAGAAGAAAACAATAACAATAACAATAACTAACCATGGTTGTGGTGGTCCCAGGAGGGGTGGGGAGAAACACCCAGTTCGCCGCGGTCGCCGAGCCGACCGCCCAGCATCCGCCATCGTCGCAGCATGCAACACCTTCAAGAACTTGAATCCCGCCTCGATTCACTAATCTCCGAAAATCGCCTACTCGTTGCTGCTCGCGAGGCTGCCGAAGATAAATTGCGCAATGCGAGTGTAGCTCGTCGGAAGAGCGACCATGCCCTCAACAGGAGTGACGCTGACCTGCGCGACCGGTCAGCAGAGGTCGAACAACTCAAGAGCTCAGTCGAATGGCTGCAGAAAGAAGTCTCCCGACTGACTGGAGAAAATGAAGCTTTGTCGACCACGAACTCGGGTTTGACCGCCGCCCATGCCTCCGAAGTTCAAGCTATGCAGGGCGCCTACGATCGCAAAATCGAGGAACTGCGTACTGCAAACCAGCAACTCTCTACCGAAATGCAGACCAAAATTCGTCAGGAGATTGACGACGCCGTGTCTCAGAAGGATCACGAGCTCCGACGATTGCGAGAGGAATTGGAGACGACCCGCGACAGGGTCAAACAGCTCCAACAACAGATCGCGGAGAACATGCGGGACGAGGTGCTCGTCTTTCGTGACGAGGACTACTTCGATGCTGCGTGCCAGAAGCTCTGCGGGCATGTGCAGCAGTGGGTCCTGCGCTTCTCTAAGCATTCCGATCATCGTCGCTGCCGCAAGCTAAGCGATCTGCAAGACGAGAAGATCGCCGACCGGTTCGAAAATGCCATTTTGGATGGCTCCGAGGTCGACCTCTACCTTGCCGACCGTGTCCGACGTCGCGATGTGTTTATGTCGGTCGTGATGACCATGGTGTGGGAATACATCTTCACTCGGTATCTTTTCGGCATGGATCGGGATCAGCGACAGAAGCTCAAATCACTGGAGAAGCAGCTATCCGAAGTGGGGACGCGGAGTTCGATTCACCGGTGGCGAGCCACCACCTTGACCCTGCTTGCACGACGACCAATATTCTCGAAGCAGCGGGAGACGGATACTGAAGCGGTGGCTCTCGAGATCTTCGACACGCTGTCCCGTCTTCTTCCGCCGCCTAGCAATGTTGAAGCCCAGCTGCTGGATTCTTTGCGCAAGGTGTTGCGAGTCGCTGTCCATCTGTCGATTGAGATGCGTACGCAACTGGCAGAGTATATCATGTTGCCTCCACTGCAGCCGGAATACGACACGAATGGCGATCTCTCCCGCCAGGTCTACTTCAACGCCTCGCTGATGAACGAGCGCAGTGGCGAGACCACGTCGAATGAGGAGCTGGAGTCTCAGCAAGCTGTGGTTCGTATTGTTCTATTCCCCTTGGTGGTGAAGAAGGGTAATGATGCGGGTGACGGGGACGATGAAGTGGTCGTCTGTCCGGCCCAAGTGCTCATTGCACGACCAAACAAGGATAAGAGGGTGTCCAAAATGCTTAGTGGTGATCGCATGTCGCTCGATGCCACCCGATCAGTGCACAGCGCGGCCCCGTCATCTACTATGGACCTGAGCAACGTGATTTGAGGCGTCACACTTGAATCATGAAGAGCTCAAGATTCATGGTGGATCTGACGGTGTATAGAGTTGCGCCCCGGCTCCCAGTTACCTCTGTCCCTTGGATTCTATTTCTTCTTTTTTTTTTCGCTGTTTTTCTTCTTTCCTGAAATTCTTACTTCTCAGTGGGCTTGCACTGAAGGCGTCCTGGACCAGGGGGGGAAACTGGCTGGGTTGGTTTCGTCACAAAAACGGTAATGAATAATTTTTGATGCATGGGAAACTGTCCATCCCCAGCATCTGCAAAATTGATGATGTTAATGATGATGTCTGCAATCGCTTCTAGAGCTGACGATCTATCACGGCCTTACTTGGATATCTGTGTGTTGTTTATGATTCTGTATTTGTTTGACATTTCCCTGTTAAATACTGGATGGATAGGGAGGGTGTAATAATTTTTTTGTGTATATGATGCTATAATGAAAGGCAATTGTTCATGTTTCAGGTCTTCCTTCAACAATTGACTACTGGACTGGACTGTATGTAGTCAGACGCGGCCAGTGCCGTGGGCGCGTGATGTCATGAGTTGAACCTTCAAAGAAAGAAGGCGGTGAGCAGCAGAAGTGGACTGGACTGAGTCTAACTGCCGTCATGCATCGAGCACCGACCACCAGCCAGACCCTCCTTCTCCTCCTCCTCCTCCTTATCGCCGTTCGCTGTCTTCCTCCTTCTCCCTCTTCCTCTCTCTACACCTCTGACTCTTCTCTTCCGTCTCAACACTGCTTTTCCTCTCTGGACAAGTCTTGTCTTGCGCATACCCCCATGTTCCACCCAAGATTGCCTGTCACTCGCCAATCGCTCCTCATTCGTCGCCCCGGGCCCTGATGAAGTGTCTTTGCCTGTGCTATGCTGAGCTCGACAAGGCGTCCGGCTCCTGCATGAACATCCGACCTTGCATTCTTACAGATCTCCCCTCGCTCTCGTCTTAGTCCATTTCCGTTTCTTTCTGTGCTCGTATTTTTGCTTTGTGACTTGTTTTAATAATTATTATTTTTTTTTTGGCTTTTTTGTCTTTCCCAAAATAGACTCGGTGCGCTGAACTGGATTACTCGATTGATGATTCATCGATCTAGCTATTGGTCCTCCAGTGTTTCCTCCTGCTGCAGTCTTGAAAATCCGGACCTGTTTATTTTCGCTGCCACTTGCGCTTTTGGACCGATCCTCGTGCATGCGGCCCTAAAGCCCCCTCAAGCATCATGCAGCCTTCACCGTCAACTCCCCGGCAGACCGCCCCCAGCCCTAGCAAGCGCTCTGTTCACAACGGCCGAGGTGCGGACGCCAATTCGGGAACACCTCGTACCTCTGTCAACCTGGAGACTTCCCGGCCGGGCATGAAGGCGGACGATGGTACAGCGAGCAGAGCAGGAACGCCCAAGTCTACCAAGCGGCGAAAACCCCGTCATCGGAAACGCCGCAATCGCCGGCATTCCTTCCTAGGTGCAGAAGATTCCCACCCTGGCGCGGCTGGATCGTCGGTCGCTGATCCTGAGGATCTGAGCATGATGGCAGCAGGGCAGACCAACACGCAGGTACCCTTGCCCTTCTACAACCTGAGGCGGGACCTCAGCAGCACGAGCCTGGAGAGCGAGGCCTTGCTGGATCATCGGTATGTTGGGTTCTGATCGACCCTCCTGCGGGTTTCCAACTTTATCGCTACGATCTGGGGTCGCTGACATTGGACATTGCGGTGCAGTAATCAACCTTCTATGCGGCCTCGGAGAGACAGCCGCCTTGGGCAGTCCTTTCGACCGGGTTCGCTCTCGACTCCTTATCGACTTGCTGGTGAGACCGGTTCCCGCGGTCTATCGTCGAGGGGGAAGTCCTATCGGGCAGGGGAGGACAGCGACGGAGAGGATGTCAATGATCGAACACCATTGATCCCGCCATCCTCGGCCCATAGCCCTACAGTTCCCCGATATGGGACGGATTCCAAGTCCAGTCCCTTCTCCTTCCGTCAGCGGCGTTCTTCGGGTCAGTCTGGCTCGTCGCGATGCTCGCCCCGGGCGATCCCGAGTCCTGGCCTCGTGGAGCATGATCGCGACTACGATATCAATAATCCACCGTCCATGCCCACCTCGCCCAAACTGGGGCCGGAGATGAACTATGACGATGCGGTGGTGACGGGGGCGGAGTTCGACTTCATGCTGGCCAAATCCATTGACAACCGGATGGAGAATCTGGCTCGTTCACACGATGTGCTCATTGACGTGGATGCTGGAGGGGCCAAGGGCCCCCAGCCGTCCATGGGGTCCTCCCCTCCGTCGCCGCACATGGCTCCTCATGACGGCCTCCGGCGCCGGAAGACCATGCCCGCGGAGGAAGACGTCTGCTTCCCAACGGAAGCAGCATCGGAGCTCGCTGACGAGGACGAGCTGCGGGCGCCCCGGGAAGACCACCGTCGACGACGGCGCCACCGGGAATGGCCCGAGCTGTCCGTCTTGGAGGAATGGAGTCGGCAGGAGAAGGAGGAGCGATCCGGGGCCCTGCGTGCCAAGACCATCAGCGAGCCGATGCTTGTTGAAGGTCGTCTTCGTCCTCAGTACCGACTCTGGCGCCGGGAAGAGGAAGAAGCGCCCTACCGGTTTACTTACTTCAACGAGGAGTTCCAGAGCACCATCCATGCGCAGACTATTTCCGAGTTGGTACAGCCGGGTGGTAGTTTCCGCGAGTTGTTCATCCCCGATCCACCCGAGCTGGAAGTCTCATCTGACGAAGATGAGAGCGAGGCGGAAGACCACCACGGGGAAGAGGCTCCAGCCAACAACTATGGCAGCCGCCAAGGCAGTCAGCCAGGTAATGGACACAGTGACACTAATCGGACAGGATATTTCAACAGCGCCAATCACGGCGGTGATACCAATAATCACAATCATAACAACCACACTCCCAAGCAACATCCACGAATGTCGGTGATCAGCGAGGCCGTCTCGGACGCTCGAACGTCAACGGACGTCTCCCCCGCCCGGAAGCAGAGCCAGCCGAAACCTAAGCGCTACGGGCCCCGGCCAACCTTCTGGCTCGATGTGCTGTCCCCGACCGATACCGAAATGCGGGTACTGGCCAAGGCCTTCGGCATCCACGCGCTGACCACGGAAGATATCATGATGCAAGAGGCGCGCGAGAAGGTGGAACTGTTCCGGAACTACTACTTTGTCAACTACCGGACCTTTGAACAAGACCCAAACAGCGAGAACTACCTCCAGCCCGTCAACATGTACGTGGTCGTCTTCCGCGAGGGGGTGCTCTCCTTCCACTTTTCGCAGACGCCTCACCCAGCGAATGTGCGGCGGCGCATCCGGCAATTGATGGACTACCTGATTCTGAGCTCGGATTGGATCTCCTATGCGCTGATTGATGACATTACCGATGTGTTCGGGCCCTTGATCCAGGCCATTGAGGATGAGGTCGATGAGATCGACGAGAAGATCATGCAGATGCATTCCGATGAGCGCGGGCTTGTGTCGAATACCAAAGACGACGAGAAGGACAGCGTCGCCACCTCGTTGGCGCCCGGCGAGATGCTCCGGCGCGTGGGGGTCTGCCGCAAGAAGGTCATGGGGATGTATCGACTGCTGAGCAACAAGGCGGACGTGGTCAAGGGGTTTGCCAAACGGTGTAACGAGCAGTGGGAGGTGGCGCCCAAGTCGGAAATCGGCCTCTACCTGGGCGATATCCAGGATCATATTATGACGATGACTAGCAGTCTGACCTACTATGAGACGTAAGTGGTTCCCCCCCCCCTACATCCTTGGTCACAGCGGTTCTGTGATGTACTGATGGGGCGGTGATGTTACTTAGGCTTCTGTCACGGGCGCATTCGAACTACCTGGCGCAGATCAACGTTCTGATGAACGAACGGCAAGAACAGACCGCCGATGTGCTAGGGAAGCTGACGGTGCTGGGAACGATCGTCCTGCCGCTGAACATCATCTGTGGTATGTGGGGGATGAACGTCAAGGTCCCGGGGCAGGATGTGGACAGCCTGACCTGGTTTTGGTCTAGTAAGTTATTTTTTGTTTTTGATCTTTATCTCCACGGTTGGTGGGTTGCATCTCCGGTGAACTAGGGTACTAATTGCATGGATACAGTTACCGGAGGATTGATTCTGTTTGCTTTCGCATCATTCTACATTGCCAAGCGCGTGTATGGGATTGTATAGAGTTGTTTTTTGGGGGGGGGAAGTTAACTGTATTGTGTGTTGGCGTCCTTCTGGAAAGCTTCTTTGGAGTAAGATCGGAGGGAGAGCAAGAGACCTCGTGACAGGTGTGGGGAGGGGGATTTACGGGTTAATCGTGTGATACTCCTGCTGTCATTCTTATCATTCTTATTGCTGGAGTCATTCCTGGTCTCCAGAACTCCTCCTTGCTTCCTGTTTTTTAATCGAATGGTGTGTCTGTATATACCGGAAGTAGGCCAATCAGGCGGAAAGCAAGAAGCAAGTCAGTCAGGATCTCACATTAGTAGAGTATACTCAAAAGATGAGTGAGATCTGGTCTATCCTTGAAATGGAGACGATTGTTTCAAGTATCTTGACTACCTTGATGCGGTAATCTTAATGATCTGAATAATTCCAAGGCAACGAAACCCCGAAACCCCGAACGGGGCTCGGATGAAGTCATGATGACTGGGGAAGATCAGTACATGTACATACAGTCATGTCCAGGTTGTGACAGGCGGTAAGAGAGGATTCCCCTCACTCGGCTGGTAATTTTACCCAAATGGCGTCACCGATGGTATTGTTTCTTTTCTCCTTCTTCTTTTTCCTCCTTGTAACTACGAGTACTCCGGAGTAACTCACTTATCATTCTCTCTGTGCTCTTCTTCTCCCATGCTGTGTGTGTGTACTTTCCTTCTTGTTCTCTTCCTCTCTTCCTTTCCTCCTCCTCCTCCTCCTCCTCCTTCTCTTCTCTTCTCTTCTCCCCCCTTCAGACACACACTCCTCTGTTATTGTCCAGGTCAGGTCAGGATGTGAATCTTCCTCCACTCTCCCCATTCCCATTAGCCACCTGTGAAGGACACTAGAGCTGCCGGTGCCTTGACGTGGGCGACTGTCATTGGGTGTGCGTCCGCCAGTCCCCCTGAGTGGGCAAAAAGCAGCGGGTGTCGCCCTTCGAAACTGGAAATCTACTTTTTTAGTAGTTATCACCACACACACACACACACTGTAAGTTACCCACCACTAGTTACCAACTACACCACCACCACCACCACCACCACCACCACCATCACCACCATCACCATCATCACTGCCACCACTGCCACCACTACTGCCACTACTACTGGAACAACACCTCCTCCTCCTCCTCCTCCTCTGGCTTCTTTTCAACCTTCGCGAATGTCCTTGCGTCCTGCCACTTGGGCCCGCACCTGCCAATAGAACCCGCCCGCCCCCTCCTCTCGATTCCTCCACCCTCCTCCAGCCTATCCACAATCGCTCTCACCTGATTTTATGTCCTCCTAGACTACTACCGTCCTCGACTAACTCACCAACGGCTTGGAAGCTTGTTCTAGACGTTGTCCATATTTCCCACCACCTACACAACCACACCCACACCACCTACCACCCCTCCTACTGCTCAAGCAAGTTATGTGCACCATTGTCTCCGCCCTTACGGCTTTGGTCTGCCTGGATCTTTACTTGGTTTTTTCCTGACTCGACCTTTGCGCAATTCTCCTACATCTTCAGTCCCCAATATTCTCCCCTCCCCCTTCCCTCTCCTACAACCTAAATCGGCTGCTACCGCTACCGTGGAGACTCTGTTGTTTATCCTCTCCGCGTTATCTCGATAACGGTTTCTCCCGCTCCGAGGTGCTTGGTCCATTCGCAGCATGTGGCCGGCCTCCATTCGCCCTCCGACTACTCTTTTGACTGTGTAACGTCGTGTTGTACAACAGGAAACCATTGATTCGCAAGTGCGGCGACCACTCAGTGGTGTCTGCGGTTCTGCATTCTCAAGCTACGAATCTCCTGGCTTCTTTGGCCAAATCGGTTCCTCAATCTGGGTTGTTTCCGTGTTTGCCTTCTTCAATCGTTATTTTCTCCGCGCCCTGGTCCCGGCTTTCCCGCGCCCGCTTGGTGCTCACCGAATTTTTCGAGTCCTAGTTTCCCCCTCTTCGTGTTTGCCTGCCACCGACGCTTATCCTGGTTCCCTCTCGGACCTCCTGATTTCTGAAAGGGTTGTCAGCACATCTCTGACGCAGCAGAAGTCATGGCGGCGGAGTCCGAGAGGTCACCTCCTCCCCACGGGACCGCTGGCGGATCTAGAGTGGCCCAAACCGATGAGGCTGCCGCTGCTCTTGCAGCGCCTCGCCGATCTGCCAGTGAGAGCGACATGATGGAAGTGCCACGTTCAACCTTTAGATCCCAAATCCAGGGGCCTGCCGTGTCACAGCTGCCTAAGTTCTCGCATGTCGTTCCTGGAATCGCCATCCCGACGCCCACCGCTCCCTCCGTTATATCCTCTCGTGAAACCTCCCCGGTTCGGTCCTCTCGTCGTCCGCGCAACTCACCTTCTACCCCCCGGATCGCATCTCGATCACGAAAAGGCAGCGTCGACCGGAGTCCGAATCGCTCTGCCTCCAACACCACTACGTCGGGAGGGCCGGGCACCGTCCCCTCGGCCACCGCCATCCAGCGAGCATTATCCAAATCATCCAAGCCGCCAATCCTCAGCCCGCCTCCCAATGCCGATTCGTCTTCCGATGTGCCTAGCCCGGACAAGTCCACCATGCCATTGTGGGCCACTTCGCGACGGTCGGAGCCGGAGACCACCCAACCGAACACCTCAATCAAGCGCTCAACGCCCGCACCGGATGATCATGCGACGAAGACCGATCGAAGTGCCCCCCGGGCCGTCAACCGGGGAAATCATACACCAGGCTCGGCCCTCGAAACTGTGCAGGAAATGGCCAGTGATCAATCCACACCATCGACCGAGACTATCCTGGGGTTGCCGTTACGAGAAGACTCACAACTGCAGAAGATTGATGAGGACGCGACGCCCAAGGCCCCGAGAGTGCAGCATAATGAAAGTGGCAGTGACAGTGGTGGGAATAAGAGCTCGGAGCCGGTCGATAGCTATCGCCGTCATGCACCCTCGGGCTCCCGAGGTTCCAACAATACCATCATCCCGAAACGCTCCACTACCTCACTGAGTGGGGGCCCTCGCGCAAAGCCGACCGATGGTTCCGTGCGCAACATGATTGTTGAGACCGAAACTGTCAGCTCGATTCCTCAGGTTTCCCTCGGTGTGGTGCCGGGAGATAGAGGCAACACTGGCCGGGTGGATGCGGGGACCCTTCGAATGAAACCCAGTACCGAGACTATTCGGCCGAAGAAGGAGAAGAAGCGAACCCGGAAGCCGGCTGCGCTGACGACAAGCACAGCGTCGTCCAAGGCAGACATTTTTGAGGCGAAAGTGGCCAGTGCCGTAGACGAAGCCGATGTTTCAGACTCCGACGAGACATTTGTGTACGAATCCAATCCCCCGGATCCGTATCCAGTTCGACAGAACCGGTATCATTCTCGGACCCCGAGCGCGACATCTATGGCTAGTCAGGTCGACCAGCTGGCCGGTCGGAGTCGAGCCGGGATTCGAGATGGGAACCACAGCGTTACGGGCAAGCGAAGCATGAAGTTTACCAATAATACTTTCACTAGCAACCCCGATGACTTTGGGGATGAGACCATACGCAGCCATCCTCGAGCCGATGGCAGCGGCACGCACACTCCCCGGCACCACCATATCGGGCGGTACGGCCGCAACAACAACCTCTATCCGTCCTTGTTCGACAGTGATTCGCCATTCCCTCAGTCTCAGGGCAGTGCCAAATCCCCCCGCCACTTTGTTGGCAATGCCTATCGACAATCTCGACACCCTGGATCACGCGCCAACCCGAATTATCGCACAATCAGTGGTAGCAAGAAGCCACACGATCTTTACAGCTATGATTTCGATGCTGAAGGCGCGGATGATGAACGCACTCCTCTCGTTGGCTCCCCCCGGGTAACACGAAGCCGTCAAAGCGGTGGGCGACGCCCGAACAGCGCCAGTCTCCGCCAGATGGAGTACATGCAGCAGCGCCATCGTGGCTTCTTCTCCCGCTACGGCGCATGCCTCTTCATCACCGCAATGCTCTTGTTCGTTGTTGGAGCGATCACGTCTTTCGCCGTGATGACCACGAAGACACTCGTCGATGTGCAGGTGCTCGATATCCAGAACGTTCTGGCGTCCGAGCAGGAAATTATGCTGGACTTGAACGTGCAAGCCGTCAATCCGAATCTGTTCCCGGTATCTATCGACGACATGGATATGAACATCTTCGCCAAGAGTCGATTTGTGGGGACGGACAAATTCTGGCGCGAGCATGATCTTGACACGAGCCCATTCCCTCGAGTGGAGCGCAGCAGGAAAAGGGCGGAGATGGCTCGACTCGCTCGGTGTGCGAACTCGGTCGGCTGTCAGGCGCTTGAAACCGAATTCGGTAGCATGGCACTCGCTCGCGGCGGTGTGGACAAGGGCACTGATCCTATGCCCACCGATCCCGCGGGTGACCCCCAGACTATGTTGCTTGGTCGTGTCTTCCATTTTGACTCGCCGCTGCTGTTGGAGCCGTCGCCATGGCGCTATGAGCCATCGACTTCGAAAGGACAGATACGTCTTGCTCGTCCCGGCAACAAAACCGAAGAGGGCGGCACAGAACGGTGGGAACGTGTGCTTCAACACCCGTTCGAATTGATCGTCCGTGGCGTGGTTAAATATCAACTACCCCTGACTTCGCGCTACTATTCTGCCTCGGTCAGCTCTAGCATCAAGGTCATACCTGATGACGGGGATGACGATGACGGAAACGGTGACCACAATCAGAGTCCCGAGGGCAACGGCACGGTTACAATATCGGCGAAGAAACGTTTCTCACGCAGTTTGCGCACTGTCCGAGACCCTGCGAGCCCATTGGATGTTGTTCGAAACACGTTCCGTGTGGTGAAGCGAGCCTTCACGGCTTAGTTACGATTTCCCGATTTCTTCCTGGTGTTATGGGAGCTTGCAGCTCGAGCGTTCAGCGATCCCCTTTTACCTCACTTTGCATTCTTCTTGGCAAGTTACGGTTCCGGTAAAATCTATGCAACTCATGGCCGCATACGCTTTTGTTTATCCTATCCTCCTTTGTGGTGTTGGATCTGCTTTCTCTTTTCTTCCCCCTTTGACCCACTGATGTGTGATGACCTGACATAAATCTATCATGATTGACCCCGACGGCGCGAGCATGGAGAACCGGCGGCGGTGTCTTTTTGAAGAAGGAAAAAGACGTTTCATCTTATGTATGCATCAGCAACGGCGCTTCTATACACTTTTGGGGTGTTGTTTTTCATTTGCGGTTTTTGTGTCTGATTAGAGTGGGGAGGACTTTTGGAGAAGGAGGAATGTTGAGAAAGAAACACGCAAAGAGGCAGATACAGGGGCCACACACCCACGGGCGTGGCGCAGGCGTCGTTCTCTGGTCTTGTCTTCGAATGTTTGTGCTGTCTTGCGTGCCGGATTGGACATCTGTCCTCCCTGGCCGCTTCCTTTCTATGTCTTGTGTATGTATTCATGTATGGCCTCTCTTGTACATAATGTGTTAACTACCCGGTGCATTGAACTGTGCCCTTGACAGATTTCATTCTTGCTCTCGCTATCGCTGTATCTGTGACATGGGGAGGTGGTGCTGGGGAATGTAACATTGAGCGATCCTTACGGGTCATGCCTTCTTCTCTCGCATTAGAAACGACACGGAAGTCAAACATCGCGAGATGAAATCGTGAGTGGCTACATTCGTGGTAGCATGAGAGTACATAGGGCCTGCTCGCTTACCTCCAGCCTCGGGTATCCGACCAAGCCCATTGACCCCCAGAACCTGATATCATCCTCAGCAACATATCATCCTCAGCAACGTGAAGTCACAGGTAGATCCGTGACCAACGATTTGAAATACTGTGGGCGACGGATCGGTACCTTGGTGGTCCAATCTGGTCTGAACGTGTAGTCATTAATGGCCATACAGTGTCAATCAACATGTACAGTCCAGTACAGTTGATAATGGTAGTCTAAACTCCTTTTTTTTTTTTTTTTTTTTTTTTTTTGCGTAAGGGGCACTAAACTACTGTCTTTAGGCCTGGATCATCAAATCACACTTTGCTAGTGGTTGGCACTGCACATGGGACAGAACAGTCCCTTCTTTCTGTTCATGTTCACCGCCAGCCAGTCTGTCTCCCTCTCGTTGCCACCAACCAATCTTTCATTTATTAGGGATCCCCCACCCATCCCACGGGACCGACGCCGGACTGATCCAGTTCTGCGGCTGGAGTTGCGCGAGGAGTGTCTCGGGGATTCGCTGCATCGGGGGGAAGGGCACGAAGTCACCGGGGGGGTTGATCAGGCCTGCGGTATGGGGGTCTAGACCGACCAGCGATGCGAGGGCTTGTTGGCCGTGGGTGCAGGTTGTTTCACTGGATGGGAGACAATCAAAAATGATATGGTTAGCTTTTGAGGGTATCCAGAACAAGTTTGGGAAAGGGCAAGTGCCCTTAGTGTTTCAAGAGAAGCTCCTCACATGATCTGACGCAGAACGGGCACGGCCTTGCTGCAGAAATTGCTGCGGTTGGAGAGAGCGGCAAAGGTCTCGAGGGCGTCCCAGAGGATCGTCTTGGATTCGTCGAACTCGAACTGGGTTTCCGGGGACAGCAGCGTCACGGAGAGCGCGACGGCCGCGTGGAAGGCGTGGAAACTGCCGAGGTAGCTGTTGTACCACTTGTAGGAGGCGTACACGGGCGACTCGTGGAGGGCTTGGTAGATGGCCAGCGAGGCCCGGGCGGAGGAGACGCTTTTGGTCCGCGCCGCATATGTCTCGGGGGTGAACTCGCCTTGCAAGTAGGCGCAGAGACTGGGGCGGAAAAGGAGGAGAAGGAGCTGGTGAATGCTGCTGTAGAGGATGTTTAGGTTGGCCTGGTGTGGCGGCGAGGGGGGCTCGAGGCTGGAATTGAGCTTGTACCGCTGGTCGCACATCTCACGGACAGATTGGATCTGAGTTTCGAGCTGGTAGGGGCCAAACCTCGGGGACGTATTGAACAGCGCATCGCATACCATCATCAGAACTCGGTTGAGATGAGATTCTAATAGCAGGTACGTCATGTGCGTTGGGTGCGCTGGTTGTCCCGAGAAAGAACCCGTCAGCAAGTCAACATCGTTAATGTCTAAGGGCGGCTTCACATCATTGGGTGTGATGGTGTTGTGAAGACAGCCAGAGACTATGCTCTGGACAGTAAATAGCGAGGTGAGCCCCATCCAGGCACGTCTGCGCTCCTCCTGTTCGATGAGTCCGAGATCGAATCGGCTGGGATCAACGTGGCAGCCCATGCAGATGGCTACATGATGCGAAAACCCTAGCAGAGTCCAGATGGGAAGGCCACGGTGGACTCGAGCATAGTTGACGAGGATCAGAGATTGGAGCGAGTGGATCGAGTGTCGAGAAAGAACATTATCTGCTGCCAGGCATCGCAGTGAGGCCGACCGATAGCGTGCAGATAATGCCTTGACATTTCGACTCGCCGTCTTCTCGCGCCCAATGTCGGAGAGCAAAATCTCATCGTCTTCGAGTGCCGTGACAGCAATAGAAAGAATCGCAAACAGAAGCGCGATCCATGCGGTGGTGACACTGTTGGCGTCGTGGCAGAATTGTTGGTACTCGGTTTCGAAGGTGAGGTCGTGAAGAACATGGAACAGCTGGGTGTTGAGTTAGCAAGTTCCACTCATATCGAGGCTCTCGCGTCAAAGAGTTACAAGGCTGACAGGAAACATGACAATCACTTACAGGCGAGAAGACTCGTAGGTAGATGTCCTTGAGCGCATCGCAATATCGGCGTGGGGGTAGTATTGCTAACAGCTCATCCCGAGACACACGAATCTTGGCGAATGGCAGCTGCAGATCATCGCTCTCGTCTGGGATCTCGGTCTCGACATTGGGTGCTGACTGGCCCCTGAAGATCGGAGGACTGTTCACCCACGGCAAGTAACGAACGTATCCGGCATTGAATGTCTGTAGAGTGCCTGCGCCACTGGGTAATCGGGATCTGGGTTCTCGGGATCTAACATCAAACGCAGGCTCATACTCGGCTCCACTTTCGGTCCCGCTGGGCGATCTCTGGGGTGACATAACGTCGTTGGACTGAATGTGAACCTGTTCGTGAAGCAACTCTTCGAGGCTATTGATACGTGCAAGCATCTCATTCTGGTCAGGTGGAGCAGCCGTCATGGCTTGTTGGGAAGCGAGTCTCGGCTGACCCAGGTAAATACAGTCCTCTGCACCCAGACCACGACGAACACAGGTCTGACATGGACGTCCGTCACGAGAGCAGCGGATTTTCCTCGTTCGGCATGCCTGGCAGCTTATAGGCAGTCTCTTTCCGGTCGAACGATTGGAGGTACTCATGATGGCGCTGGAAATTTAACTCAGAATAAGAAGCTAGCGTTGGAGCTCGCCCTTGCACATGGGTAATCTAGAACAAAGATATGCCGGAATGGGACAGAAGGCCGACGCAGCACCAGCCAATTTACCTTGTGAGTTTTCAGAGTGCAGAACACAGCATGCTAAGTGAATGGTTCTAACGATGTGCTGTGTGCTCTTTATATCGAGGTAAATCTGTCTAGCAGCCCATGAGCAAGGAGTCTTGTACTGGGTTATCACCTACAATGTCCATTTTCGGCATCGCCGGTCTAGTCGAATTTTTTTGGGCCGATGCTCAAGAACAATGAATGCGCTGGCGTGGTGCTAATTCGACCGAGAAAAGTAAGAGAAGGAAGCTGCTTCACGGAGAATTCCGTCCCACTGCGACAACGTTACTATCACTTCAAACTGTCGCGTCCGAATCGGTTAGATCGCAGCTTGCATCTAAAAATCTCTTCTGCTGCTGCCTCCGTATCCATTACCTATAACTCCTGTACTAAGAGCCCCCCGGTAAAGAACTCAGACTGATTTGGTGGTGGAAAAATTCTAGAACCCTACACTGTTGACCAATCCGTGCTTGAGGAAGCCGGATCAAAGGGAAGACCCAACGCCTATGGGGGATGTGCGCGGAATAGCGATGACGTCTGCCAGCATCGATAGTGCGTCAAGTCGGGTCGACGGCATTGTGGGGCTTGACCCTCAAACCGTCGCAATCATTGTGTCCGACGAATTGTGGCTAGGTGCATACAGACTGAGTCCATTCCTGCATCACCGCCACAGAGAACCATGGTTCAGAATCCTCTAGTATTGTCATCCTGGCAAGAAAGGGGGTCGTTGTGAGACTAATTTGTAAATCTATTTGTCCTTCTTGTCAATCATTGTTCTCGTTTGAGCTTGCTCTGCAGCAAAGGCCCATATTTCCTTCTAAAGTGGCTCCAGCCACACTTGGGGGTGAGATTCGCTGCACATGGTGCTCTGGTCTGCTGTCAGAGTATCAGCAGCACCCACCATGCTAGCGTTTTGGCGAGTCCCAAAGGAGATGGCGCCTCAAGTCTCGAAAATTGCATGGGTGGTTGAGCTACAGAATAGATTGAGGCGAGGGGTCAAAGCGGCAGCCATCATTCGATTGCTGACACGGTTGAGCCCCGTAGGGCACGTATGCTAGGTCCACGGCTCAAAAGCACCATGCAGGGATTATCGTGCAGGCCCTCCTTGAACGGAAAATCCATAACAACTTCCTTCAATATGCAAAGCGGGGTTCGGATCATGGTGATCGAAGCATTACTGGGTTGCTCTTCCCTCAATTGCTGATAACAGCGTAAAGGTGATACCGAACATCTAACAAGTGTAGGGTCTTTTCACCCGCTTGGCTTCTCGAAAGGAATAAAAAAAGCCGAAGACCGCAGTGTCCGAGATCCGACTTCGGCAACTCCAGATCTCGCGGGAAAATTTTCCAGTACTCCGTACTTTACACCACGGTTAAGGCGGATGAGACTGGCGCATCCGACTAGCGTATGAAGAACCTAGCTGAATGATAAAAATTTTCAGTGGATCCCTGCGGTAGCTGAGGGGCCTCAAACCCGGCGTTTACTAGATTAGAGGTTGAAGAGGTTTGCATAAGGTGCCTGAAACCGATGGTATGACGGCTGTCATTCCATGGTTGAGAAGGAACTGGATACGTAGCCATGTTTTTGATTTCCATGGGAATAATGATTCCCCAGGGACCAAGATCAGATTAAACCTTCTGGCGAGGCTTGCAGATACTCGTAGATCCAAGAAGATAGTGGTAGTTGTTGATGATGAGGAGGAGGATGGAAGTTGCAATTGTCACAAGGCAAGAAGCAGTTCCTCACGTGGAGGATCAGCTGGTTTGGGTGGTTTGTCAGCCCTCGCGGCCTCAGGTTTCATTTCTGCCCCTCCTTTCTAATACTTCAAACTTCATCATCATCGTTCATCAACCTTCCACCTTCCATATCCCACATTTTCTTCCATACATGCTGCATGCTGCATGCTGCATGCTACATTGTGTTACACCTGACACAAATCCAAACACACTGAGCGGATGACAGATGATCAGTGAATCAGTGAATGAATGCCCCGGCAAATCATCATCGCGGCCCGGCATACTTAATCTTGGGCGAGGGTTGGACTAACCCCTCCTTGGGCGCCCGTCTTCTCGCTCGGAGCAATTGTCTTTGACCATCCCGCATTCTATTTCGTCTTGCTGACGACGGTGTACGTCTGCCTTGTTTCGTTCTCGAATCAAGTTGAGCCTTCGTACAGCCATCCGCCGACGCCCGTCGGTTGTTGACACTCGGCAGCCTCTCTCGTCAGCCTCGCTTACCCCACTTCGCTGCAGTCCCTCATCTTCCGTATTCTTCTTCTCAAAACTGCTTCTCATCTTTCCTTCCTCTTTTCTTGCATAGAGCAACCTCCTTTTTCCCGTCACTTCCCAATCACCTTTATCCATTTGAAATCGTATTACTTCATGTCATACGTCTACAGAGAGCGCGATCGCGAGCGGGACTGGGATGAACCCCGCTCGACCGTATCTATCAAGCGTTACGTCATCCCCTCGGAGGAGGAGCGTGAGCGTGAACGTGAGCGTGATTTCTTCTATCGCCATGAGGACCCGGCCGAACGAGAGCTGGTTATCCGGCGCACTCATGAGCGAGAGGAGCCGGTGATGATTCAAAGGTATGAACGAGAGGTTGACTTCGACTCGCGCTCACTTGACTACCGCTCCGAAAGAGACTATTACGAACGTGAACGTGAGTATTATGTGCCCGAGCGCATTCGCAGCCACCCCGCCCCCGTTATCATTCGTGAAACTCAGCCGATAATCCTTCTTGAAGCACGCGGCCCCGTCTACGTCAATCCACGAGAGTCCGATTATGATATTGTGCGGCGGTCGGAAGTGGATCGCGAGCCTGGCGGCTATTACTATCATCGTCGTGTCCGCGAGTGGGATGAAGACCGTCGCTCCCGACGCGAACTGAGCCCCAGCGACTCTGTCTCACAGGCTACCCGTCGTCGCGATGAAGAGGACTACAGCAGCGATGAGAGCATGGTGTACATTCGCAAAGAGACACGGGAGTACGATGATCATCCCCATCGGCGGCGGCATCTAGCCGAGGGTGCCCTAGTAGGTGTTGGGGCGGCAGAACTTCTTCGCAACCATCACAAGAAAGAAGGAGAAGAAGTGCCTGAGGGAGTTGGCCGCCTGGGCCGGGACGTGGGTGCCGGTGCATTGGGCGTCATCGCTGCTGAAGCAGTCTCGCGTGCAAGAGAGCATTATCGCAGCAAGAGTCGTCATCGCTCCCACTCTTTTGATGACGATCACAGATCACACTCCCGTCATCACCGCCATCATCGTCATAGCCGCAGTCGTCGAAGTCGCAGTCGCTCTCACTCCCACTCGCGCGCGCGGACGCTCGCGGAACTCGGCCTGGGTGCCGCTGCTATTGCGGGAGCTGTTGCCCTGGCACGAAACAAGTCCAATTCCAATAAAGACAGACGCAGTCGATCTCGCCACCGCCGTGCTGCCAGCTCCACACGGTCGTTGCCGCTGAACAAAGATGGGGAGCGCAGCCAGTCCAAAAGTAGAAAGCATATGGCGGAGGCTGGCCTTGCTGGAGCAGCAGTGGCAGGCCTGATCGAGAGGGCCCGGAGCCGCTCACGTCCAGGGCGACGTGATCGGTCTCGATCCAAGAGCGCAATCAGGAAAGCCCTACCAGTGCTAGCGGCCGGCCTTGGGACAGCTGCGGCTACTGGATTATATGAAAAGAACAAGGACAAGAAAGAAGCCTCACGAAACAGAGAACTTCGACGCTCACGATCTCGCAGCCGCGCCCCTTCAGAGGTTTACTCTGATCCAACGAAGTCCTCTCCTGGTCTGATCGAGTACGGAGAACGCCCAGTCCATGGTAGTATTCCTGCCAACTACTACGGTCGGCCTGGGAGCTCACATGGATATTACTCGGATGCATCTGACCCTGTTGCAAGTGGCGCAGCAGGCTTCGGATCAACAAGACGCCGGCCTTACAGCCGCAGTCGTAGTCGCAGCCGAGGCCGGGCAGCTCGCTACAGTAGTGATTCGTCAGACTCAGAGAGTGACAGCCGGAGAAGACGACGAGGCGGGCACGAACGGCATCGCAGTCGCTCGCGGGAATTCGCCGAGGCCGCTTTAGGAGCTGCAGGAGTCGGTTACGCAGCCCACAAGCTCGCGCAGCGTAATGAGCGCAAGAAGGCAGAGCGAGACAGAGACAGATCGGGTAAGCGAAGGTTGATTCTCTTGAGGCTTCCATTCAAGTGCTGACCAATCATGAGCCAGACGAAGCTCCGTACCAACATGATCCGTATCCGCCATCTCCTGCTGCTCTTCGGCCGATCGACGATCACCAGTACTACCCCAATACCAATTACTTTCCTCCACCCCCTGGCTCCGCGCCTCGCACGGAACCAGCACCTTACAACCCTGCCGACTATCCACCTCCACCCGGCGCTGTGCCACCGCAGCCGTATGCTCATCCTGCGCATCCTGAGTCAGACCCGTATGCACCTCGGCCCCGAAGGGTAGAAGAGAATGTGAGTGCCGCATGGAAATCTCCCCATCACCCCATTACCCAAGATCGCATATCAGATGGTGGGTTCAGGGAAGGCTGCCTTGCATACAAAGGAGCCCTTGCTGACCTGGCATGTAGGCCTAGATGCACGATCATCGCTGAGAACTCCTCGCCCGAAAAAGCGACGACCCCGCGCGGCCAGCCAGCCGGCAAGGCCGAAATCGGTTGCCTTTGACCTTGAATCGGAACATGAAGGACAGCATGACCCCGGGTACGAAACGGATGATAGTGACTCTACCATTGCATCAATACATGGCCATGGGCGCAACCGCACTCCACGTCGCCGCCACTCGTCCTCTGAGCCGTTCGCTGCACGTACACGGTCTGAAGATCGGTCCCGCAAAGACGGCGCGGAATCTGATTCCGACTCGACTATCGATTTGCCTGACCGGTTTGACTCGCAGGGACGCCTTTTACCCAAGCCCGGAGATGATCCTTTGGCAGACGGGTTGGAGACACTGCTCAGGGGAATCAACCGTGTCTTTGTTTAGCTGACTTTTGTGGATTTGCTTTCGCGCCTTATCTTTCTTTGTTACGCGTTGTTTATCTTTTTGCACTAATGTAGTAACGACGTGATGATCATGACAATCTCGGTAGTTAATGAATGAATGTTGATGAAAGTTGATCAAGTCCGACGTCCGGCCGAAAGGATTTCCATGGAGTATGCAGGAGGGCGGTCACTGGTCGTCACCTGACGATCCGCCGATCTGATCATTTGCCTGAACTGGTGGCATGCATGAACCATAACCATGCGATACAAGTACTGAGTAACAGAGGAGGTACGGAGGCTGCAGTGGTTGACTTTACTTACTTGATA